AGCCCAGCAGGCGAGGCTGCGGTGGCTGGGAGCGGCCACTGCACTCCAGTCTGGGTGACCAAGTGAGACTCCAACTCAAAAACAAAACAAAACAACATATACATATATATACATACATATACATATATATGTATGTGTGTGTGTGTGTATATATATATATATATATATATATATATATATATATATATATATATATGCTGAATGGGCCGGACACAGTGGCTCATGTCTATAATCCCAGCACTTTGGGAGGCCAAGGTGAGAGGATTGCCTGAGCCCACGGGTTCAAGACCAGCCTGGGCAACTTGGTGAGACCTCATCTCTACAATAAATCAAAAAATTAGCCAGGCATGATGGCGCATGCCTTTAGTTCCAGCTACTTGGAAAGTGGAGGCAGAAGGATCGCCGGAGTCCAGCAGGTCGAGTGACCGTGAACGTGCTACTATACTCCAGCCTGGGCAACAGAGTGAGACTCCAACTCAAAAAAATAAAAAGTATGCTGGATGTAGCAACATGGAGGCCATTGGTCACTGACATGAGCTGCTCTAGTGAAGAGTTGGGGGTTAAGGCATAATTACAGAGAGTTTAAGGGAAAAAACAGAAGAGAGTTCAAGATAAGTTAGATATACAGTTGTAAGTATTGACAAATCATCTGAGTTGTCTTGCTGTAAATGAGAGCAACGGTGGCTGAAAGGAGAAGTGTGGTTAAAAGAGTTAAAACAAAACAAAGGCCAGGTTCGGTGGCTCAGCCTGTAATCCCAGCACTTTGGGAGGCTGAGGTGAGTGGATTGCCTGAGCCTGCGGGTTCTAGACCCACCTGGGCAAATTGGCGAGACCTCATCTCTACAATTAATCAAAAAAATTAGCCGGGCGTGGTAGCAAGCCTGTAGTTCCAGCGACTCGGAAGGCTGAGGCGGAAGGATCGCCGGAGCCAGGCAGGTCGAGGCTGCGGTGGCCGGGAGCGGCCACTGCACTCCAGTCTGAGTGACAGAGTGAGACTCCAACTCAAAAAAACCCAAAACCAAAACCAAAACAGGAGAAGAGACAAGTTCTGGAGTGATGTCCTTGAGTTAAACAGGGAGAAAGGAAGCTAGTATACATATGGAAACGTTCACATAGTAACATGGACAATTCACCCTTAATAAAAGTAGGTACGGGACGGACGCCGTCCCTCCTCGGCCCCAGCCATGGGGTGCTGCTACAGCAGCGAGAACGAGGACTCAGACCAGGACCGAGAGGACCCGAAGCTGCTGCTGGACCCTAGCAGCCCTCCAACCAAAGCCCTCAATGGAGCTGAACCCAACTACCACAGCCTGCCTTCCGCTCGCGCAGATGAGCAGGCCCTGCTCTCCTCCATCCTCGCCAAGACAGCCAGCAACATCATCGATGTGTCTGCTGCAGACTCCCAGGACACGGAACAGCATGAGTACATGGACCGAGCAAGGCAGTACAGCACCCGCCTGGCTGTGCTGAGTAGCAGCCTGACCCATTGGAAGAAGCTGCCACCGCTGCCATCTCTCACCAGTCAGCCCCACCAAGTGCTGGCCAGCGAGCCCATCCCCCTTCTCCGACTTGCAGCAGGTCTCCAGGATAGCTGCTTACGCCTACAGTGCACTTTCTCAGATCCGTGTGGACGCAAAAGAGGAGCTGGTTGTACAGTTTGGGATCCCATGAAGCGAGGGGTCCTGAGACAGCTCTTCTCCTCTCTTCACTCTGTCTCCACCCTGCCTCCCCTGGCCCCCAGCCTCACTGCGGCTTATACAGTACCCTAACCCGCTACTAATCACAGCGAAGAATGTGGAGGAGGAGGAGGAGAAGAGCAAGACTAGAAGCCTGAACAAGTGAGGATAGAACCATTTGGGACTGGCCTTTGAAGACCTGGCCAGGGGTGGGCTGGGGCCAGAAGGACAGGGCCTGGTATGTCTTCACAGTCATTGGGAAGATGGAGATACCACTTTGGAGGAGTGATCACCAGGAGACCTAGGGGGATCCCCTACCTACCCTTTCTCTTGGCCTCAGAGTCACTCCTGCTCCCTTCTCCCTTCTCCCTGACTTGGTGCTCACACGCACCTCACTAGGGTTTGTGACCAGGGTCTAGAATGAGCTTGAATTTGAATGAATTGAGTTTGTATTTCTAGCACCCTGGGTTTTTATATGTTTGGTCTTTTTTCTTTTTGTTTTGGTTTGTCACCCTCGATAAAGGAAGTATATTCATTTGAAAAAATAAAAATAAAAAATAAAATAAATAAAAGTAGGTACGGATGTAAGCAGATGAGTAGATGGGGAAGAGAAATTATCTTTTGATTGTTCCCTTGCTCAGGTGCTCACCTCTCTCCCCTATTCTCCCATCAGAAAGAGGGTAAAGAAGGAGGCACTGGTGATTTCTAAAAATATGAAATAGTCATCAGGAAGAATGGGAGGGTAAATGGATTATGGAGACATGGTAGGATGCCAAGTAGCACCAAGGGACGACTAAGGAATGCTAACTTGTTGCTAGCAATCATAAATTTAAATTAGACTACTTGGGTCTATTTTTCTCCAGCTATATTCAGCTGTATGCCAAGGCATATGCAGAAAATCAAATTATTCAACACTGAAGTTGTGCCAGGTAGTTTTAACAAGAGTAGTCAGGGAGCTAAATTATATTCTTTTTTTTTTTTTTTTTAGATTGGAAAATATAGTTTATTTAGAAAGTAAATTAGAGAGATAGAAGAAAGAGGTGATAGAGACAGATTCACCTTTCCAAAATAGGGAGGGGGCCAAGGCCAGGAAACGTGGCGATGGCCATAGCTTAAAGAGCACATGGCTACACGAGAGTCTAGTAAGGCAATGGCCAAATCATATTCTTATAAAGCAATTACTTATAAATAAGGAGTATTTCAAGTTTTTTAAATAACAGAACTTATTTAAATTGTGATAAGGTTTAAAATCAGAAAAAAGATAAACTCTATTTTTGCATACTGTGATCAATTGTTTTAATTTTTATTTATTCATAATGCTTAAATATCTAATTTAAAAATTTTAAAAAGTATATTACTATGAGAAACATTCTATTATTAGCTAATAAATAGTCATTTACCTGCTTCTTTCATGGAAATCTGATCTATCATTCCTTTTAATATATAAATGTTGCCTGATAAAGTCCTAAGTTTGTTGTGCTCGATCCGCTCTATAATTACATTACTGTGCCAATATATGTTAGTGATGTCTCTAGGAAAAAAAATAGCTTTAGTGAGCCAAAATATTCACGTTTTACCAGTAGTCACAATGTATATACATACGTATACAGGTTTATAACAGAAAGTAATAATTTTGCACCCTAGTTACAGCAACACCAATAATTTTGTTAATCTAATTGCAAAATATTTGAGGGTCAAACACTGCAGCATAACTCTACTATTTGGCTACTATGATCCTCGGAGAATGTGTCAAGAAACTGTAAAGTGGTCAAACCAAGTAAGTCCCTACTCTAAAATTTATCACTAGCAAGGAAGCAGAGATATTTGGTCTTTTCCAAATATCTGGTACTGGTAATACTTGTAACTTTGGATTAAATGATGCTACGCTCTCAAGAGTGATTTCCCTGTCTCCATCAGGGTCTAGACAATGTTAGCTTTTATTTAGAAATGTAGACTGAATCACCTAATCTTGTTTTCTTGCCCTCACTATACAGCCAAATGTTTTCACCTCTCATTTTGAAAAGTACCAAAAAGAAGTTCCAGTTGGGAAAAAAACAAATTATAATATCAAATCACTAACACACAAATCTATTCTTCATATTTCTTTACATGAAGATAAGAATATAAAATAGAAAGAATAACATATGAAGATGTATTAGATAAATGTTGAATATGTTCCCAGTCTTCAGATAACTAATAATTACAAGCATAATAAATAAGGAAGTTAAGTTCCTTTAACTGGTCAAATGGGATTAAACTCATACATTATATCTTAATACAATATTACTTCTCATCTTTCTTTTTTTTGGCCTTTTTTTAATCTAATAAGCACTTAAGTAACACTCTAAAAGCACTGTTCTCTGGTCTCTAATCTTTGACACAGCTCACAAGTAATACAATTATCCATACTGCACAGATGAAAAAACAGTCTGTAAAAAGATACGTAACTTGCCCAAGTAATACAGGTAGTAAGCCACAATAATGGTATTGCAACAAAGGCCATCTATGCTGCATCTTGGATATTAAATGTATAAGGTAAAGAGATATAGAGTGGCCAACACAGACTGTATATACTCAACTTGTAAGCTTCCATATAGCTGGGCTCAGTGGCTCAGCCTGTAATCCTGTGCCTTTGGGAGGCTGAGGTGAGTGGATTGCCTGAGCACGCGGGTTCGACACCTGTCTGAGCAACTTGGCGAGACCTCATCTCTACAATAAATCAAAAAAATCAGCTGGGCGTGGTAGCGCACGCCTGTAATTCCGGCTACTCGGAAGGCTGAGGCAGAAGGATCGCCGGAGCCCAGTGGGTCGAGGCGGCAGTGGCCAGGAGTGGCCACTGCACTCCAGTCTGGGCAACAGAGTGAGACTCCAACTCAAAAAAAAATAAAAATAAAAATAAACGTCCATATATTTCTTTAAACTGTAACATCACATATTGTTTTATTACAATCTTTTATTACACAATTGTTTAGCAATAAGAAAGTGGTCTTGAAGAATAGGAAACGGTGCTAATAGAGTAGCAGAAATAGGAGAAGCCCACTTACCTGATAACACTCTTACTTAGGGAGGACCAGAGAGTGCCACTGATTACTTATTATGTAGCTGTATGGAAAATTTTTAAATAATACTGAGTCCTTTTCTGGATCAGTAATTTATATCTGCTTGTCCCAATTTAGATGTGAAAATCTGGACTGAAATGTATGTAGTAAATAATAACTGGTCATATATAATTAAGCAGATAGTATCAGTCCATTCATTAGCACCTCATAAAAAATAATGTACTATACAAGTTGAGCTGTTATTATTTTTAAAATAATTTGAGTAAACAGGCAAAAACAGGTAAGTTGGTAGCAATCACTGTGTCTAGGATCCAGTCATTTTACTTTTTTACCTTCAGTTCATAACCTCATTAGAGAAGTCTTTGTTTTGTAGAAATATGTTATTTTTCATGCATCACTTTTTCAGTTTTTACATGCAACTATCATAAATTTTATTAAAAGACTATTGAAATGCTATACTTACATCAATTTTCCTTCTACACATATAGCAGTATTATCATTGATAGCCTTAATCATCCATTCCTGTAGCCGGACTACCTAATGAAACATAAAACAAGGAATATATTTTCTGTATTACTTGCAGCATAAGCATTAACTTACTTAAAATTAACTAACATTGAAAGAAAAAACTTATCCAAATAATCAAGTAATCAAAATAATTCCTTAGTGCCCATCTATATAAGAATCACATTCTATTTTAAATAGCAATAGGAAAAAATCTTGTATATAATGAAACAGAAAAGATAAAAGGACAGATTGAATTCAGGTTGCACTGAATAGTTTGTTCTACAATCCAGAAGCAATTATACTTCAAATATTCTTACATCAAATTTAAACCAATGGAAAAAAATCATTTAAAATCCCAAGGAATACACTAAAACACCAAGTCTTGCAAAAACTCCAATAATTTGGAGCAAAAAAAGAGTCAGCCATGTTTTGTCACTAAAAAAATTGGAGCATTTTTTTGGTCAAGTCCATTTAGAGTTGCTTTTCAACTTTCTGACCTGGGCCAGTTCACTCTTCCTTAGGCAACCTAGTGGCCCCCTGCTCCCAGAGGTTACCATATTGATGCTGAACTTGGTGTGGACACCTAATAGGGACAGTGCACTACAGCCCAATATTCCTGGGTTCAAGCAATCCTACCACCTCAGCCTCCCTGGGACTATAGGCACAGGCCATCACTCCTTGCTTCATTTTCTATAAACTGTAAAATAGATGACTGCTAGAAATCTACATCTAATAGCATTCTATTCCAAATCAGATAATTTGTCATTTCAGTACTAGTAAAATCCCATTATGATGGGAAAATTTCTGTGAGTGTATGTGCAAAGACATTATTGTTTATACTTAATAAAATTTAAGATTGAACTATTTCTGATAAGAAAAAAGCCAAAATGTATAGAATAACTAATTTGAGTGGCCATTTACCTTATATATAAAATTACACTTTTTAATATAAAGACAAATTTCTCTACTGGCAATTTTATACTGAGTCAGAAAAATACATTAAAATGGGAGGGTCTTTGTCATTGGATTCACTTAAAAAATTATAGGTAGGTCTGGGCATGGTAACCATGTGCCTGTAGTCTCAGCTACTCAAGAGACTGACACAGGAGGACTGCTTAAGCCCGGGGGGTTGAAGCTGCAGTGAGCTATGATCATGCCACTGCACTCCAGCCTGGGTAACAGAGAGAGACACCATCTCTAAAAACAAAACAAAACAAAAAACCAAAAAACCAAAAAGGCGCAAAACAATGAACAAAAAAAGTATAGATAAGACTTGGGTAGGAACAGTAAAATAATACTCATTTTTTTCCTTCTCCTACATTTGGAACACTTGAGACATATCAAAGCACTAGGCCACAATGTAGCTACAGTAAATAATAATAAAACATGAAATGAAGCTACTGTTAAAAACGAGAGGCTGGGTTCAGTGGCTCAGCCTGTAATTCCACGCTTTGGGAGGCCGACGTGAGTGAATTGCCTGAGCCCGCGGGTTCAAGACCCACCTGGGCAACTTGGCGAGACCTCATCTCTACAATCAATCAAAAAAATCAGCCTGGCGTGGTAGCGCACGCCTGTAGTTCCAGCTACTTGGAAGGCTGAGGCGGAAGGATCGCCCGGCCCAGCAGGTCCAGGCTGCGGTGGCCGGGAGCGACCACTGCACTCCAGTCTGGGCAACAGAGTGAGACTCCAATTTGAAAAAAAAAAAAGAGAGAGAGACCACAGCTTCAAATGCTAACTAGGAGGAAAAAAAAAAAAAAAAGAGCATAAGAGCTCAAGTTCTTGAAGAATAAAAGCAAACACAGAAACTAATATCTGCCATAACAGTTTTGTTACCTTATTTACCTTACTTTTTTTAGCACCATTTGTAAAATCTTGAAGTATACTTGGAGGAGGAATCTTGGAAATATTTTTTTTCGACTTCTGAGGTATTTCTACATGAAGTCTTGGAGTTGCAAGTACAATTTTACATTTGTCTGCATCTTTCATAAAACCTGGAAGACCAGTCTCTCTGAGCATTGTTTTTTCATTTCCGTCCATAATTTCCTTTGGTGAAGTCCCTTCTGTTGTCATCTCACTATCAGAAACCATTAATTGACTGCCATTTGTAACAGAAACACAGTTAGTATTGAGAGTCTCAATATTTGTATTTTGAAAGTTTTCATTGGTAGAATCAATGCCTTCTAAAATAAACGTGTCCTTTTTAGACTTAGTGCTTACAGCTAAATTTTCCTTTGAGTAAAGAATTTGTTTAGCCAACTGAGCTCTAGTTAATGCCTTGTTTGAGGCTCCTGTGGCTGAAAAATTTTCTTGTTCTTGGTTCAGAATTGGAAGTTCTGCAAAAAAATACAAAATAAAACAAAATGTATATAAAGGATCATATGAAATTAAAAGAGATAAATTCAGGCTAGGAACGCTCCAACCTCTCCACCTCTTTTCTAGGTGCCTTTGTTGCTTTTATGATTGAAGCTTTTGTCCACAATCAATGTTTATTTTCACACGGGAAAATAATTACCGAGAATATCTAACATATTGAAGTAACAAAACAGAAAAGAGTTTACCATAAGTCAAATTGTGCTGTGGTGCTTTCTCTTCCTGATGGCATCGACTCTTCTGTTTGACTGGAAGGAAAATATTATTTGATGATTCTAAAGTAACTTCTTTGACTGAGGTTGTGGTTAAAAAAAAAAAAAAAGAAGAAGAAGTTGAACTGTATTAGTCACTGACAAGAAAAAGTATCTTTTTAAATTCTTGAAAAAAAGATGCAGATTCAGTAATTATGAGACCAATATAGTATGTTTTTGCAATTTATAACAGCTGCATAAATTTTTCCCTTTATTATCTTCTCATACCTTTACCCTGGTTCTCTATACTATGTTGAGGAAGATTTTCTTTTTAACTTCTCCAAGATACAACTTGTCAGCTCTAGACAAAAATATATTACTAGACTTAGAAGTCTGGAGATCTGAAATAAAATCTGGTGCTGTCACAAATCAAATATGCATGTGTTAAGATTATATATAAAGTGACACCTAGTCTTGAAAATTCTGATTCCAATTGCTGCAAATTTCTAAAATATGAAAGAATAGTTGAAGAGTATAATTTATTCTTTAAAAATCAAAATATTGAGACCCAATAGTAGACTAAACTGTAATTTGCATCCTTTTGACATCTTTTTAGTAGGCGTTCAAATGCACAAAAGTAGTAGGTTTATCAATTAGACAAATAAGAACTGGTAGTATGGATTACATTTTATTCTGCTTTACAAACTAGATCTTTAAAGTTTAATGTTTATTGAATATAGTTTCTTTCACATAAAGGAAGAAAATAATAGACTTAAAATTTGTGCCAGAAAAGGAAAAATGGAATTATTTTATGTTTAATTTTAATTATTATACTTGAAAGAAACTGGTAGTGATTATGCTGTAATAAGTATTCCACTTTGGGCTTAGAAATCTTAATATAAGCCAGGCTCGGTGGCTCAGCCTGTAACCCTGCGCCTTTGGGAGGCTGAGGTGAGTGGATTGCCTGAGCCTGAGGGTTCGAGACCCGCCTGGGCAGAGACCTCATCTCTACAATAAATCAAAAAATCAGCTGGGCGTGGTAGCACATGCCTGTAATTCCGGCTACTCTGAAGGCTGAGGCGGAAGGATCGCTGGAGCCCAACAGGTCTAGGCTGCAGTGGCCGGGAGCGGCCAGTGCACTCCAGCCTGGGCAACAGAGTGAGACACCAACTCAAAAAAAAAAAAAAGAAATGTTAATATAAAGATTTTATTGTAATGACATGTCATGAGAGAAGTGTTAAGTTTCTGCATTTAAAACTAATTTTACTGGAAATTGCAAGACAATGCAGTAGAGACAAGTAGGTAATTCAAGTTCAATCTAACAAGCTGTAGAACCTGGGTCATTTATTTGGGAGTCCAAGGTTCACATCGACTCTCCAAAAGGTCTCTACAGCTGCATACAAAATGAGTGTTTGTATTTGTGTATGCATTTTTCTGGGGAAAGGATTATCAGATTCTCAAAGCAGTTAGGTATTTCTTACTCTCTCAAATTTCGCCATATATGGAAAACACTTTAATGTGCATTGTTTCATTTGTTTCTTCCTTTTTTCCCACGCTATATAATAGATTATTTTGCATACTCTCCTACTTCGACTCCAAACTTCCTTAGAAAACTCCGAGTATGTCACTGTATTTGAAATGCCACAATATCCCCACAATCTATCATGTAGTGGTTAAGAGCATGGGTTTTTTTTTAAGAGAGATCTGTACTCACTTCTCAGTCTGTCACTTACTGTCTATAAGACACAGAGTAGACTTACCCTCTTTATAAGCCCCATTTATAGATTATTAAAAGAGCATCTGACTGGGTGCAGTGGCTCACACCTATATGTAACCAGACTAAAGTGCAGTAGTATGATAACGGCTTACTGCAGCCTCGACCTCCTGGGCTCAAGTGATTCTTTCACCTCAGCTGAACAGCTGAGACTACAGACAGGTGTGTGCCACATGCCAGCCTTACTTTTCTGTTTTTTTTTTTTTTTTTTTGTAGAGACAAGTTTTTGCTATGTTGCCTAGGCTGGTCTTAAACTCCTGGGTTCAAGCGATTCTTCTGCCTTGGCCTCCCAAAGTGCTGGGATTACAGACATGAGCCACTGCACCTAGTCCAATTTCAGTTTTTTTCCTTCCTACCGGATTATTCCCAACAATACACAAAAAATGCTGTCATTTCACCAATTATTAAAAACAACAATAAAACCTTTAATCACACATGCCATGATTTCTTTGCTCCCCTCAAAAAGAGTTGTTTATGTTCACCATTTCCAATTTCTCTAGTCATATTCTGTCTTGAACCCTTTAGAATCATGTTTTCGCTCCCACCATTCCACCAAAACTATCCTTAAAGTCATCAATGACCTTCACACTGTGAAATCCAATGGTCAAATCTCAGCTTACTTGACTGATTAGCGGTATTATGCAGAGCTGATGACTCCCTCCTTAACACACTTTGTTCTCATGGCTTCCATAGTTTCACTCCCTAGGTTTTCAGTCTTGCCCATCTTCTCCTTAGTGAGTTTTCTATATTTCATTCTAACTTCCAAACGTTGGAGTGCCCCAGAACTGAGCCCTTGAAGTTTTTTCTTCGCTTACTCCTTGACGATCTCATAATAATTCCCAAATGTATTTTTAATCACCTAATTTACCTAAATTCCAACAAATTTTTCCAACAGCCCAATTAACATCTACATTTAGATTGTTAACAGACATATCTAAAATAACATGACAAAAACCTTAATTAACAAGCCCCCACTCCATTCCTCCTTCCGTTAGTCCTATTTCAATTAAATTATCCTTCCAGTTCTTCAGGCCAAAAGCAGTAAAACAAAACAAAACAAAAAAAACCACCCTTTATATTCTTTATATCTCTTTTTTCTCTTATATTCCACACCCAATCTATGAGTAAATCTTACTGGCTTTACCTTTAAAATATACCCAGAGTCTAACCACTTCTTATCTTCACTACTACCTCCTGAACCAAGCCAACATGGCTGTCACCTGGATTACTGTTGTATTGTCTCAAAACAGCCAGAATGATTTTTTTTTTTTTGAGTTGGAGTCTCACTGTCATCCAGACTGGAGTGTAGTAGCCGCTCCCGGTCACCACAGCCTAGACCTGCTGGACTCCAGCGATCCTTCCGCCTCAGCCTTCCAAGTAGTTGGAACTACAGGCGCCGGAATGATATTTTAAAACATATGTCAGATCTTGTCTTTTCTCTTCTCAAAACCCTTCAGTGGCCCTTATTTTGCTCATAGTAAAAGCCAAAACTCTTACATTTATCTATAAGGTCTTTACGTTATCTGACCCATTCTTATTTAACCCCTCTTCAGCTCTGTCTATTCATTCCATGATACACTAACCTCATAACTAGTCCTAGAAGTTATTTGGCATGCTACTTCAGGGTATTTGAAATAGCTGTTACCTGTCTGGAACATCCTTTCCCCACTCTCCAAGATATCTGTACCTATCACTTCCCTCAATTTTGGGGTATCAAATGCCATCTTCTCATTGAAGCTTGCTCTGATCACCCCACTGAAAATTACAACCCCCTCTCATCCTTACTCTGCTTTTTACTTTTTTTCATTTACTGCTTTTCCTTTTAGTGTATCATAAAATTACTTATTTAATAGGTTAATTATGTCTCCCCACCACTTGAATGTGAACTACATGAAGGCAAGGGCTTTTGTCCACTTTTTTCACTGCTATTAATATATTCTGAGAACCTAAAACCATCTGACATATTAAACACTTAAGACATTATAGCTTTTTCGCCAACGCACAGCAAAACTAACCTCGTAGTGAACTATTACCTGATTGAAATGATGTGTTGTTTTCCTTTTCTTCATCGAGGTAGGTATGCTGCAAGCGTTTTTTCTCAGCTTTGTTAGAAGTGAAGATTTTATTACTTTTCTGTGGTTTCAACAAACTACTGTTTCTTGATGCCTGTTCTTGCTTGTCATGCAGTATTTTTTCTTTCATTCTTTGAAATATTTTCCCCGGTGATTCATAGTTTGCCTTATTTTTAAATCCATCCTTGTTGGGCTTTATACAACTGATATCAAGAGAACTGTTAGAAGTGGTAACCTCTGCTAGCACGGTAGATTGAAATATATCTTTATTGTTAAAAGTTGTGATTTCTAGGAATTGATTCTTTTTATGTTCATTCAATTTTAAAGAGAAGTTTTGATATTTCACCAAATCTTTTACTGGTGTAAGTGTGTCTGAAGGTATGCTGTCAAAAAAGATTGCATCAATGGGCAGATTTCTCCTTTGAGATGTCTCTGAAGACAAATGAGCTCCTGGATGTTTCAAAGGTGTTGCAATCATCTTGAGAAGAAAGTAGCAACAAAGTTTGTCTAACAGAAAAGTTAATTTAAACACAATCGTCAGGACACAGCTTCAGCAGGGACGCAGCAAAACCTGTAGTTCAACGTGAAATCCTTTACCATCTTTTGGTACAGAAAAAGTTTAAAGATTATTTGTTTCAACAACAGCATTACACTAATTAAAATACATAATGGGTTCATAACAGTGGATGACAACTCATAAACCAAACTAAAATTTTATTTTTGTCTATTTATTTTGTCTCTTTATTGTTATTATTTTTCAATAATTATGGGCAGTTTGACCTTTAATGCAATGTGCAAATAATGCAGACGCAGATGTGTAGCTTGGTCAGTTGCACTGAGTAATACTTGATAAATAAATAAAATGTTCCAATCCAAGAAACCTGGAATTTCCTAGTGTAGATTGATTGGACCCCTCTCCCACAAGTCTCTGAGTCAGTCTCCATCACCTAGGCTAAAGTGCAGTGGTACAATGATCACAGCTCACTGCAGCCTCCAACTCCAACTCAAGCGATATTCCCACCTCACCCTCCAGAGTAGCTGTAACCACAGGCACATGCCAACATGCCCAGCTAATTAAAAAAAATTTTTTTTTGTAGAGATGAGGCCTCCCTGTGTTATCCAGGTTGGCCTCAAACTCCTGGGCTCAAGCAATCCTCCACCTTGGTCTCCCAAAGTGCCGGGCTTATAGGAGTGAGCCACCATGCCCAGTGACAGCATCCTCTGCCTCTTATAGCTGTATTTACAATTCCAACTTGTTTTTGATAGTATCTAAACATAAAAAGCCTATCACAGAAAACATTAATGCAATTAGACCAAAAGACATCAAGTATCTTTATCTACATTAACTTCTGTGAGAAATAAACGGTCAAAAATTCATATACAAAGTACTGTTTATTAGCAATTCATGATATAAGAGAAATAAGAAGGAAAATATTTCTGAATAACAGCAGCTAACAAAAAAGGGCATATCTTGGGAATCTGGCCTCATGACAGAAAAATTATTGTAATTCTTTTGTAGAATGTTAATCCAGCAAGAACACAGTAATGCATATATAATATTTGTATGTTCATCAATGGGCTAGGTGCCAGGAGTCTGTGCCGGGAGTTATAATCTTAGCTGTTCACATTAAACCACAGCAATTGTACTATCTCTCATAATCAAAAATGAATAAACTGGAAATTTGCAGGGAAAAATGGCAAAGAAAGTTCAGGTTTACACAATCTCAATTGCTCAGAGCCTAATGAAATGCTAAACAGGAAATAAAAACTGCAAATAGGCTGGACATGGTGGCTCAAGTCTGTAATCCCAGCACATTAGGAGGCCGAGGCGAGAGGAATGCCCGAGCCCAGGGGTTCAAGACCAGTCTGGGCAATTTGTTGAGACCTCGTCTCTACAATAAATCACAAAAAAACTAGCTGGGCATGGTGGTGTGCTTCTATAGTTCCAGCCACCTGGAAGGCTGAGGTGGAAGGATCGCCTGAGCCCAGCAGGTCGAGGCTGTGGTGGTCGTGAGCATGCCACTGCACTCCAGCCTGGGCAACAAGAGTGAGACTGCAACTCAAAAAAAAAAAAAAAAAAAAAAAGGTATGCTGTTGTTGTTTTCATTAACTGCTTAAAGCTTTTTGGAAAATCTAATCCTCATAACTTATTCTGAAAATTGACAAATGCTGATGTACTAGGAAAAAATTTTCTATTTATTCAACATGACTCAGGAATGAGAAAACCATTTTATGAAAGGGCAGACTATAGCGGGCTCGGTGGCTCAGCCTGTAATCCCGCGCCTTGGGAGGCTGAGGTGAGTGGATTGCCTGAGCCCGCAGGTTCGAGACCCGCCTGGGCAACTTGGCGAGACCTCATCTCTACAATAAATCAAAAACTAGCCGGGCGTGGTAGCGTGTGCCTGTAGTTCCAGCTACTTGGAAGGCTGAGGCGGAAGGATCGCTGGAGCCCAGCAGGTGGAGGCTGCGGTGGCCGGGAGTGGCCATTGCACTCCAGTCTGGGCAACAGAGTGAGACTCCAACTCAAAAAAAAAAAAACAACAACAACAACAAAAAAAGAAAGGGCAGACGATAAGAATTTGTAGCACAGTTACGTACTGCATAATGATGTTTCAACTAACAACCGACCACATATGTGACAGTGGTCCCATAAGACTGTAACACCTTATTTTTACTTTCTTTTCAGGAAGTCAGACTTGATATTTCTACTGTACCTTTTCTATATTTAGGTATGCTCGGATACACAAATACCATTGTGTTATGACTGCCTATAATACTCAGTACAGTAACACTCTGTGCAGGTCTGCAGCTTAGGCACAATAGGCTACACCAGACAGCCTAGGTGTGTAGAAGACACCATCTAGGTATAAGTACTCTCTATGAATTTTGTACAAAGATGAAATTCCCTAAGGATGCATTTCTCAGAACATGTTCCTGTCAATTAAGTAGTACATGTAAACACAGAACAGGGGCGAAGCAACTGTTGCTATCATGTGTACTGAATATAGCTGTTACTCTTCCAAAAAATACATAGAAACCTTTTATATTTATTTTCTGTAGTGGTAGCAGTAGTAATAATTATTGTAATGGAGTGGATAAAAAATCCCAGAGCACACTAACCAAAACTGGAAGGTGTTATTGGGGGAGAATGAGAGAATTTTAAGTTGACAGGCAAATGATACACTTAAAAACATGCAGCACATACGACAAAGGGCTAATTGATATAACTTTCAAAGAGACCTAATGAACCGATTTTTTAAAACGATCAATACAGAAAATAACCAAAGAACATGAAAGGCAATTAACAGAAAAAATACAAATGGCCAACAAATGAGTCAACTGAAGCCTGATTTTACTAGTAAATGAAGAGATGCAAAATAAAAGGGAGACTTCTTTTTCTTATCACACTGTCAAAGATTAATTTCAAAACACAGATCTGCATACCACTGACATGGACATTCCACCTCTAATCTTTTCTCCAGAAACATCTGTATAAGAATACAAACAGGCCTGGCCCAGTGGGTCATGCCTGTAATCCCAGCACTTTGGGCTTTGGGAGGCTGAGGTGGAGAGATTGCTTAAAGGTTGGGAGTTCAAGACTGCCCTGAGCAACACGATGAGATCCTGTCTCTATAAAAAAAAAAAAATTAAAAAAAAATTAAAAATTAACCAGGCATGGTGGTATCTGATTGTAGTCTCAGCTACTCTGGAGGTTGAGGTGGGAGGATCCCTTGAGCCCAGAAGCTCAAGGCTGCACTGTTCTAGGAACCAGTCACAGCACTCCAGCTTGGGTGCTTGTCATTGCAGTACTTTGGGAGGCCAAGGCAAGAGGACTGCCTGAACCCATGGGTTCGAGACCAGCCTGGGAAACTTGGGGAGACCTGTCTCTATGATAAATCAAAAAACTAGCTAGGTGTGGTGGCTCGTGCCTGTAGTTCTGGCTACTTGGAAGGCTGAGGCAGTAGGATCACCTGAGCCCAACAGGTGGAAGCTGCAGTGGCCGAGTGTACCACTGCACTCCAGACTGGGTGACAGAGTGAAACTCTGACTCAAAAAAGAAAAAGTGCAAATATGTATATGGTAACAATAGCCAATACTTACTTAATATTTACTACTGCCTGGCACTCTATAATCTTAAAGCAACTCTTAAGAGTTAAGTACTGTTTTTGTTCTCAGTTTCAATTTTAAAAAATAAAGGCATAGGATGGTTAAGTGACTTGCCAAAGGTTGCAACACTAAGAGAGAAAGAGGAGGCCTCTCAAGTCTACCCGGCTTCAAAGTTTAAGCTCTTTACCAACAAGGCAAGTCTACCACCTCACAAGGACGTTCACTGCAGTACAGGCAAATTAGGAAACCCAAGCCCGGCGTGGTGGCTCATGCCTGTCTTCCCAGCACTCTGGGAGGTGGAGGCTAGAGAGTTGCCTGAGTCCAGAGGTTCGAGACCCAGCCTGTGCAACTTGGCGAGACCTCATCTCTACAGTAAATCAAAAAATTAGCCGGGCGTGGTAGCGCGAGCCTTAGCTCCCGCTACTTGGAAGGCTGAGGCGGGAAGGATCGCTGGAGCCCAGCAGGTCGAGGCCGGGGTGGCCGGGAGCATGTCCCTGCACTCCAGCATGGGCGACAGAGTGAGACCCCGACTCAAAGAGAGAGAGAGAGAAAAAAACCCAGATGTCCAGAAATAAAGGACAAAACAGATTTCCCAACATTCATACAACATAGTCGATGTATTCGATAAAAAGATATATACGTGCAAAAGTACCCAAGACATATGAGACGCAAAAAAGAAGAACGTATTTCCGGGAAGGAAAAAAAAAAAAAAAAGACACAGACACACAGGAGCACAGGCACAGAAAAAACACCAGGAAGCAAGGGCACCCATTATAAACAGGGTTTGTCTTTGCAGGGGAGGACGAAGCCGCCGACCACTTTCGACGTGATTTTATTAACACCCCAACGCGTGTGCAACCAGCATGCCACGCGATCAGAAGAAAACAAAGGCCGAAAACACTCCCCGCTTCCCCCGCCCTGGGGCTCCCGGGTCCCCGGGCAAAGAGACAAGCCCCGACGCCCGCAACTATCCGGCTTGCTTATCCACGCTAACGTGCGGCGGGGGTGGTGGCTTTCACCACAAGGGACTGTAAGACCCTGGAGCGCTCCTTTGCAAGTGAATGCCCAGAACCTTGTTCGACGCTCAACAACCGCATGGAAGGCGCCCCTGGGA